TAAGTTGACAAGTTTCATAAGACAAAGACGACACATAACTAAGACTGGGAACTTGGCACTTCGGATTCTGGAGAGAGGGATGTCTAAGAGGACAATGTCATTGAAAAGGAGACAACGAGGTCTATAAAGCCTGGGTAGGTGAATCAAAGTCAAGGTAATATAGACCGCCAACTTTATTTCCCGTACCAATCTTCCTCTTCGTCTTGAGATCTTGAAAGACACAATAAGAGGGATAACAGGTTACAGAACAATTGAGAGAACGGTAATCTTGCTAATGGAAAGTAAACTAAAAGGAAACTGAGGAACAAATAACACAGAAGATAGGGACATATCAAGACTCAAGTGAGTAGTCCCCAAACCTGAAACTTTAGAACAAGTACCATTAGTAAGAGTAACATTACGTGTGGAAGTAGTAGACTGATAAGTAAAAAAAACATTAGACGCACTAGTCATGTGGTCAGAAGCGCTAGAGTCTATGATCTAGGGACTACGAGTAGAGGATAATAAACAAGTGGAAGCAGTACCTGACTGGGCAAAAGTAATAGTGGAGGGAGATAGGAAAGCCAGCTACTGGGACAGAAACTGAGCATACTCTTCTCGTGTAATAATAACCGACCCAGTGTCTAGTGGAGTTAACCAAGGTACGGAAACAACAACAGAGATGTCATCTTGATAGGAAGCCTGATTCGTAGCACCCGAAAGTTTTTCATGTAAATCCCAACAGAAATCAATAGTGTGCCCTCCACGGCTACAGTGAGTACAGGAACGAGGTCCAGTACAACCCCTACGACCACTTGTACTACCTCCTCGACCACCACGATTACCTTGATGACCATCAATATGGCTACTGGGGACCAAAAGAGCTGAGCGATCAGTGGAAATACCATGATAATACCTGAAGTAGACAAAGTAACACACTGTATACGAGAGAAAACCTCAAATAATGAGGGAAAACTAGAACCACCCAGGATCTGAGAACGGATAGCCTTATATTCAGGTTTCAATCCTACCAAAAATCTAATAATATTCATGTCCTTATGTTGCTTCTACCAACTGTTGCATCAGTAGTAAACGGATGGTAAGTCTTCATCTCCTCACAGACTCCTCGAACGTGAGAGTAATAATTCTCAATGCTCAGAATACTCTGTTCCAGCCAGAAGTATTCCTTGTATATCTCACAAGCTCGGGTAAAATTATCTGTATCAAAATACATAGTAGCCAAGTGATCTCATATTTCCTTGGCAATGTCAAGGTAGAGTAGAGTAGAACTTATACTAGGTTCAATGCTATTCAGTAGTAAAGAAATAATTTGAGAATCCTCTTGTTTCCACTGATAATACCCAGAGGTATCTTTCTCAGGTTTAGGATTCACTAAATATTTCTTTAATCATTTGGCTCGAAGAAAGACATGAATGGATCGGGACTATGAAGTATAATTGGTCTCATTGAGTTTAACCGAGGTCATAGGATCATTGATAAGAGTTAGAGGAGTAGTGGTAGGTGGCAAAGATGGGGTAAGAGCCCTGGTATCTTGCTTGGGTTCCATAAAAGTGTAGCAAATAGAAAATAAAAAATGCTACAGTGCAAAACCAGAGGAAAGGAGGGTTGTTGGAGGGCTGAACCGGCCTAGAGAACTGCTAAACCGGACTGGTTTAGCCCAAAGAAGGCTGCTAGAAGGCTGAACCGACCTAGAGAACCACTGAACCGGACTAGTTTAGCCATCTGGACCACTGAATCAGCCTTGCTGAGGCTATTGGAAGCCTGAACCGGACTGGTTTAGCCTTCTGGCCCACTGAATCGGCCTTGCTGAGGCTGCTGGAAGCCTTAATCGGATGGACTAGGCTTGCTGGACCGCTAAACCAGAGTAAAAAATGGTCTAAAAACGGTCAAAATCGGTCTGAACCAATCTGAACTAGTGCAGGAACTAGCTGAATTGGGTTAGACCGAAGTGGGCTAGACTCGATCAGATTGGGTTGGGCTTAAAACAATTTAAACCCGTTGATGGAACTGGTTTGGACTGAAGTGGGTTGGACCCGATTTGATTGGGCTGACTTAAAATAATTTAAATCCGTTGTCTTTTATTTAAACCCGTGAAGTCGGGTATGGACCTTTTCTTCTTCGTCGATTAGGGTTCCATAACCCTAGTCTTCTATTGCGCAACCACCACCACAATGAACAACTGTGACATCCCAAAAATTGGGGGTCTTTTTATCAACCGTTGACCATTGTCAACCCGCAGAAGTACTTGTGATTGTCGTACCACTAGACATCACGTCGAAGCTAACCCTTTAATCGGGACTATACCCACACAACCGTGGTTTTTTACACATTAATTTATAACCATTTTATCCCATAGGACACCCTTGAACAAAATGAAAGATTACCCAAGAATTGAGGAAAAGAATTCAAAAATTTAAAGTTTTTTGAGAACTTTCCGATAGGTTTTCATAAAACTTCCGGAAGGTTGACCTTCCGGATGGTTGAGAAAACCTTCTGGAAGATCGAACATACTGGAATCCTATCTTTAAGAAAGATGTGTTGACCTTCTGGAAGGTGTGTTCAACGTCCTGGAAGAAGTTACACACTGGATTCCCTCATTTTAGAAAAATGTGAAGACCTTCCGAAAAGTTAGAATCGACGTTCCGAAAGGTTAGAATCGACCTTCTAGAAGGTTTCATCCACTGTCCAACAATTTTTCCTTGTCTTTGTCCAAACCTTCTAGAAGATTAGTTGCGACCTTCCAGAAGGTTTTGCCCAGAATTATCTGTTTCACTTATTTTTTATTTTCAATTCATTCCAAACCTTCTCACAAACATCCCAAACATGTAAACTATAGTTTTTCACATAAGACTTAATACATACAAGTTCTATTACAACGATTTCCTATATTTACATGTCAAATATATGTTTTTCTCAAAAGTTTTACAAAATTCACGATCAAAGGCCACAAATCGACCTTTTCTTCATTTTGGAGGTCCCGAATGAGAGTCCTCCGCCGGTACAAACCTCGTACCTGAAATGTGTTCCAGTATAGGATAAGCCACACCCAACAGAGTATTACCTACCGAGGCTATTCTCCAACCTAAGTGCATATGAATGTGGAAGACTAGAGCCACCCAAAATCTGAGAACGAATAGACTCGTATTCAGGTTTCAAACCAACTAAAAATCGGACAACATTCAAATTCTCATGTTGTTTCTGCCAAATCGCTACATCAGTAGTAAAGGGGTGGTAGAACTCAACTCCTCACACACTCCCCGAATATGAGAGTAATAGTCTTCAAGACTCAGAGTATCCTGCCCCAAACAAAAATACTATTTGCATACTTCATATGCACAAGTGAAATACCCAGTGCCAGAATACATGGTGGCCAAGTGATCCTAGATCTCTTTGGCCGTGTCAAGATAAAACAAAATAGAATTGATACTGGGCTTAATATTATTCAATAGCAATGAAATAATTTGAGCATCTTCTTGTTCTCATTTATCATACCTAGGAGCACCTTCCTTGGATTTAGTGTCCACTAAATATTTCTTAAAGCCTTTACCTCTAAGAAAATTTGAACAAATCATGACGACAAAACATAATTGGTCCCATTGAGTTTAACAGATATCATGGGACTATCAAGTAGAACCATAGGAGAAAAATTCGGTGACATGGATGTAATAAGATCAGCCTGACTATCATCATTTTTATTGTTGGGTTCTATAATAGTATAGCAATAATAGAACCAAAGAAAAAAGGAGAAAGAACCATGTTATAGTGAAAGGAAGAGGCTGGAAGAACACCAAGGAGCACTGAATAGTGGACTAGGTGCTTAAACTAGACCAAACAAGGCTACTGGAGTGATGAACCGGATTGGACAAGACTGCTCAAGCAGTGAACCGGACTGAATAAGGCTGCTGGAGTGATGAACCAGACTGGACAAGATTGCTTAAGCACTGAACCAGACTGGACAGACTGCTGTAGCCCTGAACTGGACCAAACAATGTTGCTAGATTGACGAATTGGATTGAGTGACTCCATTGGAGTGCTGAATCGGACTAGAACCACCTGCTAATCAGATGAACCGGGGTGAACTGGTACTGAACTTGTTTGAGAAGAAGCTAAACTGGTTTGAGAACAGGCTGGGCCGGTCTGAACTTGGCTAACTAATTTAAATAAATTTTGGGCTTGTTTTAGGCCCAAAGGAGAAACAGTCTCCTTCGCTGCAAGGGTTAGAAACCCTATTTTGAACACGCAAGTGGCGCACATCACCGCCACTACTCAGGGTTGAAGAAAGCTACCACTGCGATCACCACAGCCACACGACGAACAACAATAATCACTACTTTGATGTTGACCTTTGGCAACAACGAACAATCTCATATACCGATGAACCACACATCGATGAACACCATACGCCGGATTTCATTACCTTCCACAATCGATATCAACACAAGCACTAGCCATGGCTACTGGTCAAACAACAACCCTATGCCATGGCCATGGATGCACCAGCGACGGAACCAGAAATAACAAGAGGAAAAAGGGAGAAATAATTGATGATTTAATTAGATTAATAGCAAAAAAAGAAAGATTAATTGAATTAATTGCAGAGTAATTTTAGATCCATTGCTCTTATACCATGTTAAGTTTAGAGAGATAACAAAACACAATATTAGAGAAACAAAGAGTGGTCAAAAACCTAACCATTCTCTCACAAATCACTTGTATTTATATTTAACCCGTAACCATACAAAAGACGTGTATACCCTCTAGTGGTATTTACATAATACCCTAACAATCTTAACAGCTAGAATCAATACTTGTTGTGCTCATGCATTATATCTATTCACCATCTATTTATATTATATTTAAAAAATTTGATCGGCTTGTCAAATTTTTGTTTATGTTAATTCTATGATATCAACTTTCAGTCCCTTTTTCTTTCTTTGCCCTTACTGTATTTGTTTATCATTTTTTTTCCTGACCCCAAAGGAAATGTGAATGTTGCTCATATGCAGTTTCCTATTGAGTGCTCAGTTCCCTGGATGCTGGTAGATCATATGATTGATTCCCAAAATGCAGGCCTTCTTGAGAGTGTTTTGATCCCGTTTGATATCTATAATGATTCGGCTCAGCATGCACTAGTTGTGCTCAAGCAACGGTTTCTCTACGATGAAATTGAAGCTGAGGTAAACGATTTTCGAAATTGAATTAACAAAAAGTGGATGGTTGTCTGCTGTCTGATGTGTAGACATTTCATTTTACTTGTATTTTCATTTAGGTTTTCTCTGGATGTTATCCATCTTAGAGTATCAAATGCAAAACCAATTGGCAATGAAAAGGGAGGCCCCTTAACAATATAGATCAACTTTGGGTGATCTTAAACATTAAATTTGGGATATAATATCCCTTTAGAGTTTAGACCATATCTTACATGGGACTCTGGCTTGCACATGGGGTTAACAAACAACTAGTCAAACATGCATACCAGAAAATTGAAATGAGTAGGAGACTTGATCCATTGATCACCCAAGGTCCAACTTTGATACCATGTTAGAGCATGCAACTCAAAACCAATTGGTAATGAGTGAAGAGATCCCTTGGCCATATAATTCATCCTTGGTGATCCTTATCGTTCAATGTGAGATAGAACCTCACTTTGCACTGCAAATATCATAATCTCTACACTATCCTAGAAGCTGAAATATGTTGGTGGACTTCTCCGTCCAGGCTTATATTTTGGGGGAGTACTCTCATCTTTATTAAGAGGTCTCTATTTCTGTTTCACTTCAGAGAAGAAATTATAATTTTCCTCTATAGATGAATAGTGCCCATGGACGCCAGAGGGCAGAGGGTCCTTCCCTCTAGACTGGAATGATGGATCACATTTTGCTAGTACCCCTGAGCTGCAATCTGTAGATGTACACTTATCACTGTTATCAGAGAAAATTTCACAGAAGTGCTAAGTTGAGAGGGTGCCAGAGGTAATGAACATAAGTAAGAGGATAACTTTATTCTGACTGCTACTTTTGTGAAGGAAACTGTAATTTCTTTGTCCACTTTGTGTGGTGGTGAATGAGATTTAGACGGATGCTTTTTTTTTTTCGTTTTTGGGAGTGGGGGGATGAGAATATGCTTCAATAAACTACTTTCTTTTACTGGAACCATAGCTGTAGTCTTTAGGGAGTTGCTGTAGTCTGGGTCCAAATTTACAGTCACTGATCCTGACTGTGCAGTGGTGACTAACTCTTGTTTTAAGTTCAAACGATGATCCTATCTGAAGTCCTTGTGTCGGATTTATGTGCCAGCAGCCTCTACTGCTGCTGCTTTTTTTTTTCCTTATTCAAAATGTTCAAGGCTTTAGAACATCATTTTTTGAATTTTATTTGTAGGTTGACAATTGTTTTGATATATTTGTCTCGAAGTTGTGTGACATTATTTTCACGTACTACAAAAGTTGGGCGGCTAGGTATGCCCTTGCCTTCTGATTTGAATTTATACTGCTAAATATGTAGAAATGCACTCTTTTATACATGTTGCCTCTGCAATTCTGCAGTGAACTGCTTGATCCATCATTTCTCTTTGCCTTGGATAATGGAGAAAAGTTTTCCTCCCAACCTATGAAATTCACTGCCCTATTTAAGATGACTCGAGTGAAGGTAAAAATATATTTCATATTACATTTAGACTAAGCTGTGCAGTGACTTTGTTCTCCTCTCTGCTTCAGGCATCAGTGATTTAGTCTTTGGTATTTAAACTTTTATATCAATTTGATATTTTTCTCGTTCTTTATCCTTACTGAAACCTTCTTGTTTGTCCTGGTGTATTCTGAGGCAATAGTGGTTTCATATATGCAGTTGTCTCTCTCGGATGTTTCAGGATTGGCACACACCCTGCAGTTGTTCTGTCCAGAATAATTTTTTAAGTGAACAAAGAATATTATTGATGAAGAAAAGAAATACAAAGAGAGGGGGGGGGGGGACTGAAGACAATTTATTTATCCAAAAGAAGAAAAAAAAATACAAAGAGTACGAAAATAGTTTCAATCTCTCTAAAGTTTGATAGAACTATTTTGTTATTGATTAGGACAGATTGTATAGTTTTTTGTGAGATTTAATTTGCTTGATGATCAAAGCTTTATTTTCTTTTTTTATGTCTTTTTGGACGATCTCTTGTTTGTTGAAGTATAAATATTTAACTTACACCCTCTCCAACAGTATAAGATGTTGGAGTAGATGGTTATTTAAGATGGTATCAGAACGGGAGGTCCTGTGTTGAATCTTGCCGCTACCCTAATTATTAAAAGAGTGTTTACGTGCTAGGCCTAAAATCTAATTGTATTCTGATCCAAAAAAAAAAAAAAAAAGAAAAAGAGCGAAAAAGTTTGAAGAGAATCGCCTTCCAATCATGTTGAGAATTTGACAAGGACGCCCCTAAGACACTACTAATAGACATGGTTCATAAGGAAGTGAGGAACACAGCTATATCCTAGACAAAGTCTAGGTCAAGATAAGATAAAGTCTAATAGGAAGATAACGATCATGTAAAACTTTTTCATTCCTATCTAAGCAGAGTAACAAATAAAGATATAGAAATTTCCTTTTAGCTGAATCTCTTCAGGGCACTCAACAACCTTTTGCAAATCTACTTATCAAGTCCAACCACAATAAAATAAAATAAAATACAATAAAGCATCCTTATAGAAAGGCATAAAATAAAGCATCCTAGAGAAACTTGCTTTGAGTACTCCTATTACCTTTCCCTTGCCTGATGCAAGAACCAACTTGTCACACCCCACTCTGAGAGACCTATTTGGTTTCCCTATGATGAAGTATAAATTTGACATATGGCAATGCATCCACCTATATTGCAATAATGCAAGAAATTTAAAAGTACCACTGTTACTATTCTGATAAAAGAGATAAAATACATCGCCGAATACATAATGGTATAATATCAGATAAAAACATTGGGAATTTCGCACTTTACAACAAATCAAGAATTAAACATTCCTGTACAATATGTACATGATTAATTCGTTAATCTCTCTTCTTTCTGTCTTGGCTATGCTAGTGTTATGGTGGACCCATCTCTAGACTCCTGCTTTTTGAAGCAAAATAATTTTCTTGACTGTACTATACATCAAAATACATGAAATATATCAAACGTATAAATTTAATATCACTAGAAATATTTGTGAGTGAATGAAATACAAACTAAGTGTAGAGCCCCATATATATAGCCAATGAAAGTTACAATAAGGATAAAAGGATAAATAAGAGAAAACTTAATAAACCCTAATAAACTAGGCTGCTGCTATATCTCCAACACTCCCTCTCAAGCTAAGCGCAAAAATGTCAACTATATCAAACTTGACAACAGAGTTCCGAAGAATGGATAGAGTGACAGGTTTGGTAAAAATATCTACAACCTGATCACTAGTCCTTACAAACAATGGAGTGACAATACCACTGCTAATCTTCTCCCGAAGAAAATAAATATCGATCTCTATATGCTTCTTCCTCTTGTGTAATACAGAGTCAGAAGCAAGCTGAATAGCAGATCGATTATCACAATATAATGTAGATGAAGAAGTCACTGAAAATCTCAACTCGCCAAGAATCGATCGTAGCTAGATAATCTCACATGTGCCATGTGCCAGTACTCGATATTCTGTCTCTGTTGACAAGCGAGAGATAACTGACTATTTTTTGTTTTTCCAATAGATAAGATGAGTCCCTCGAAAAACACAGAAACTTGTAGTAGATCGACCGTCACATGCTCTCCCATAATCTGAATCTGAATAACAGGCTAGAGAATCAGTCTGAGATCTTGATGCATAGAACAATCCAAGTCTAGGACTAAGACTTGAGGTATCGAAGAATATGATAAACTGCATCAAGATGAGGCTGACATGATCTGTACATGAACTGACTAACTCGGCTGACAGCGAATGAAATGTCTGGCTTAGTGTTGGCTAGGTAGATAAGTATACCTACCAATCTCTGATAGACAGTCGGATCTCTCAGCTTCTCACCTTTAGCAGTAAGTTTTAGGTTTGGAATCATGGGTGATGATGCCGATTTGCACCTCAACATCCCAGTGTCTAAGAGAAGATTCAAAACATATTTTTTCTGAGAAAGAACAATACCTCTGTTGCTATGGGCAACCTCAATCCGAAGAAAGTATCGCAAAAATCTAAGGTCCTTCACATCAAAGGCCTTCCCAAGGTCTACCTTGACCTGCGCAGTTCCAGAAACATCATCTCCAGTAATAATAATATCATCAACATATACCAAAAAGATGACATACTGTTAAGAAGTATTTTGTCGAATGAAGCAGGTATGATTAGAATGACATCCGGTAAATCCTAAACGTATAACGACATCACTAAAGCATGAGAACCAGACTCGTGGTGACTGTTTCAGTCCATAAAGAGACTTACGAAGTCGATGTACCTTTCCAACATACTCCCCCTCACCACGAAAGCCCGGTGGTGTATCCATATAAATAATCTCGTTCAGATCACCGTGAAGAAATGTATTCTTCACATCCAACTGATGAAGAGGCTAAGAGTATTCCACAGCCAGAGAAATAATCAGTCGAACAGTAGTCAATTTTGTCACGGGGGCAAAGGTAGCACCAAAATCACGACCTGGTACCTGAGTAAAGCCCTTCGCCATAAGTTTAGGCTTGTGACGATCAATATTACCATTCGCAAGAAACTTCAGGGTGTAAACTCAGCGATAGCAAACAGGCTTCACTCCTGAAGGTAAAGAGATAAGATCCCACGTATGATTACGCTGAAGAGCATCCATCTCTGTCTGCATGGCAAGAACCCACTAGGGCTCCTGTATAGCCTCTGAAACAGAGCGAGGAACTGGTGTATCTGATAAGGCCATACTATAAGTTCAAAATATAGGAGACAGATCACCATAAGTAGAAATCGGGTATAAAATCTTGACAGTCCAACCATAACGAATAACTAGACAACGATCACGCTGCGGATAACGACGCCCTAAATCATCTTCCTCCACTGACAATGTCTCATCAAGTAAAACAATTGGCTCAGTACTTACAATCTCATCAGTGCTAACAAATGCATCAATATGGTCAACGAACTGAGAAATATTACCTGCATCGTCTGAGGTAGAGGGGACATCAGCAGGGGGATAAGAGTGAGGGCGAC